CCTTTAGCATCCAACTTGTGTATGCATACATGCTCATATGTTAGTGGAGGTTATTCCATTTGTTAAATCTGCAGTTTTCTCTGTCAGCAAGGTAGTGACCATGTCAATCACATCATACAAACAAGTCTAGTTGTTAATAGAAAAAAATCCCTTCTGCATTTCAGAATGAGAACATTTTGCTCCTGGTAGTATTCAGTCATTTTACTTTTACTCACTGTTTGAAGAGTCCTTTTCACATTTTAGTATATTTTCTGTGTACTCATGAATAAAGAGTCATAGGTATAATAGATTAAACATTTTCTGTGTTCAGAATACATATTGGGAGATGGATATTGGAAGAAATCCCCTGTGGTTGTCAATAGATGCTTCTCGGTCTTGAAAATTCATGCATAGCATGATTTCCTTAGAACAAAAATATTGTACTAAAGCACTTTCAATTAAGCAAGTACTCAGAACTAAAATAATTTATCTTAATTTGTGTACACTTAATGTTCTCATACTAAAATATTTTTTCTTGAACTAATGATAGGCATCACAATGTATCTCAAAGTATAACTTCTGAATAGAAAATTGCACAATCTCTGGATGCTCATCATCATATTTTGCATTACCCGAAAGAAAAAAGTGACCAGAATCAAAATGGAAGATTGTTGTGATGATTATTGTTGTTATTAATAGCAAAATGTATACATATAAATCTGGATCTTGTAGAACAGTGGTTCCCAGCCTTTTTTTTGAGCAGGGACCATTCTGACCGAGGACCACTCTCCAATATTAGTACCAAAGGGGGTTACAAATCAGTTTTTGGTCAACTTTAGATTTGGTTTCGTTATTTGGGGTGCTGATCCAGAAAATTGCATTAGTTAGACCACATCAGCTCTAGTTTCTGATACAGAACATATGTCACCCAGTAGTTGCCATCTGCTCACCCCAAGAAAACCATGTTTAATGAGCCACGGCACTATAAGAGTGCTTTGTGAGGCCAGTCGCTCTCATTGCAACGGTGTAGTAACAGTGAGGCCATGGATCATATTTTAGTTCTTGTGGACCACTGGTGGTCCACGGACCACAGGTTGGGAACCACTGCTGTAGAATAAAGGAATCTGATTGCAAATAGAATATCCTATCTTTTTCAGAGAAAAAGTTAAAATCTCCTAAGATTATTGCATATCTAGCAATTGGATTTTTTTTCTCACTTGAAAATTGGCATCTTTACCTGGATCATTTGGTGGTACAGAATCTCGATTTTTGCAGATTTTTCATTTACTACTTTTGAATGTGTGTATTTATATATATAATGAGTGTATACAGTATAGTGTTTTGAGGAAGTAGGATACTGAGAGTCCCTGATCTGAATCCCACAAGGCCATTGAAATCCACCCGATGTCCTTGAGCAAACCACACTCTCTTAACCTTGGAGGAAGGCAAAGGCAACCACCCACATAACAAATCTTGCCAAGAAAACGCCATGATAGGTTTGCCTTAAGGTCACCATAGGTCAGAAACAAGATTTTATTTTTTAAACTGAATGTTTTTTAATAGTTTTCAATTTTGTTTCATTGTATCCGTGATTTCTAATGTATTGTGCCGGCACATTGTAAGCCGTCCCGAGTCCCTTTTCGGAGGTGAGAAGAATGGGATATAAATCCCCGAAATAAATAATTTGATATATAGCAGTAGATATGGATATACATATAGATTATTGATTACCTTTTTTTAGTTGAGATTCTGGTTTTTGTATCTCTTTGAGGGGTTTCTCTCAGTTTACTTGACTCAGTTACTTAAACAGCTTTCTGTTCTGCATGCACGGAGCTAAATAAACATTTTTCACACCTGGCAGTGTAAATGCATTATATAATGTGGAATTTATATACATATAACTTATGTGCACATAAGAGACGTGCCCTGTGTAAGTAAAAGAATTAGTCATCTGATATCTTAAACCCCATGAAAGCTTGAAGAGATTGTGTATATTCTGTAATTGTACTGAAGGTGGTAGTCACGCTACACAAAACCATTCATATTGAACTCTCCAGCTACATTATAAATGCAGTGCTGTTCAATGCAAGGAACAGGTAAACCAAGCCCATTATTATGTTCCTCATCAGCCCTGATATTCTAGCACATAACCGGCTAAAGCTAAATTGGAAAGAAAGGTACATAATCCTCTAAATATTTGATGCTTTCTTATCTGTCTGTTTTTCATTCTTCTCCACAGTGAAAACTACTACTTTTTTCAAACATATGTCTCAGCCTTTTAATTAAAAAAATGTGATTATACCTGCTCTGATTTTGATCAGTTTATTCCTGTAGGTATAGTTCATCATTAAAAGTATTTTTTTTCAGTAGGAATATTAATGGGACTAAACTACTGACTGGACATTGAGCTTAATTTGCACTTTAAGCATTAAACTAAGAGATGTCTTTATTGTGTTGTCAAAGGCTTTCATGGTCAGACTCACTGGCTTGCTGTGGCTTTTCTGGGCTGTATGGACATTCCGGTCCCAATTCAAGGTGCAGGTTATGACCTATAAAGCCCTAAGCGGTTCAGGTTCCGCCTATCTCTTTGATTGCATCTCCCCGTATGAACGGCATGGACTCTTAGATCTTCCGGGGAGGCCCTTCTCTTGCTCCTGTCACTGTCTCAAGTGGAGTTGGTGGGGCAAGGGAGAGTGCCTTCTCAGTGGTGCCCCCCCTCCCCCCGCCTTTGGAACACCCTCCCCAGAGAGCTAACACAAGCTCCATCACTAGCCTGAAGACCTGGTGGTTCAAGTAGGCTTTTGATAATGATTAGCCCCAAGTCCTACCCTGGCCAACAGTTAGGTCCCCACTCTGCACTCTACCCACTTCCCGGGCCCTCTGCTACCTCATTACCCTTGACCTGGCCTAGCTCTATTATAGCTATTCAGCAGGCCCTGGAAAAGAATAGCCCCAGGCACTACCCTGACGATTAGTTCTGCACTTTACCCACTTCCCCAGCCCTATGTTTCCCATTAGCCCAGGCCTCTCATATCTGTGCCTCAGGCCTTGGAAATAAATAGCTCCCAGTCTTAGCCTTACCACCATGCAGGATTATGGTTGCACTTTATCCACTCACCTGGCCCTAGTTCACCTTGTTATATTAGCCCAGCCATCCCATAGTTATCGAGACCCACTCTCGAATCTTGGCCATATGAAACTGAACTTGCCTGATGGAATTAGCACCCAATGGTTTTTAATTTTAAATATGTGTGTCTGTTTTATAGTATTATGGTTTTGTTTATATTGATTACTTGTATAGTTTTATGTCTGTAATTGCAATGTTTGACCTATGCTGATAACCGCCATGAGTCCCCATGGGGAGATAGAGCGGTATACAAATAAAAGATGATATGGTGATATAATTATTATTATTATTATTATTATTATTATTATTATTATTATATTATGTTCCAGTAACATTCTCTCCTGATATTTCACCCACATCTATGGCAGGTATCCTCAGAGATCATGAGGTCTGTTGGAAATGAGTTTATATATCTGTGGACTGTCCAGGGTGGAAGAAAGAACTCTTGTCTGTTTGAGGCAAGTGTGAATGTTGCTGTTGGCCAGCTTGATTAGCATTTAAAGGCCTTTCTGCACTTGATTGATGGCACTCTGGAATTCCCCTTTTTTGAGCGGTATTATTTATTTGCTATCTTGATTCTGGTATTTTTTTTTAATATTGATAGCCAGATTTTGTTCATTTTTATGGTTTCCTCCTTTCTGTTGAAATTGTCCACATGCTTGTGGATTTCAATGGCTTCTCTGTGTAGCCTGACATGGTAGTTGTTAGAGTGGTTCAGCATTTCTGTGTTCTCAAATATTCTGTGTCCAGGTAGGTTCATCAACTGCTCTGCTATGGCTGACTTCTCTGGTTGAATTAGTGCTTTTCATGTTCTTTGATTCATGTTTAGGTGCTGCGATTAGTGGTCACTATGTAGACTTGTCCATGGCTGCATGGTATACTGTAGACTCCTGCAATGGTTATCCTTTGCTGAACATTGCATTTGTTGAATTTCCCTGGTAGATCTGTAGCGTTTGTAGGTTATGTTTCTTCATTAGTTTCCCTATGCAGCCAGCGGTTTCCTTGATGGTAAGAATACTTACTAGGTGAATCTTTGTCTTTACTCTCGTGGCTTATTCTTGGTCTTGAAGCTCTTACGATGTCTGTAGTGGAGTATTCATTGGCCTATAAAGCACATTCCACAGATATATAAACCCCACTACCTCGTTTCCAACAGACCTCACAACCTGTGAAGATGCCTGCCATAGATGCAGGCAAAGTGTCAGGAGAGAACACAACTGGAACATGGCCATTCAGCCCAAAAACTTTCAGCAACCTGATGTCTGATTGTTTATGTTTTATATTTGGATTCATGTTGGTGTGGGGTTTATACTTGGGTTTGCTATGGTGGTAGGCCAATAGTTAGTATTGAACTATTTAATGTTTGAATGTACTTGTTGACTATTTATATGATGATAGCACTGTACGGTGCTTTTGTGAGCCTCCCTGAGCCCCCCCACGGGGGGAGAAGGGGTGGGGGTAAAAGTGCATGAAATAAATAAATAAATAAATTTACTGCTGGCATGATGGGACTTTTCTTGCATTTCCCTTCTTCTCCCAACCTGATAAATATTTACATCATCCAAGCTCATTTTGATGTAATTACATTTTGATGTAATGCAGAGATGGTACCATTTAGGTTCTGCCAACAGGAACAGTTCTGTCAATAGGTTCATGTCTTTGGATTGCACCTTGGTTTCCTTTTTTATTGTTTTTGGGGGACGGGTGGGAGTGGTTATGGACAAGACCCAGTGGCCAGAATTCCACTTAAAGTATGCTTTGTTTGTTATACATAAATGGTGTTTAACATTAATGGAGTGGAGTATGCATTCACTTCGCAGCATATGATTTGAATAGTGTATTTTTCTACAGTTGTGAGTGTTGTTGTAACACTTGTTCCCTATTTTTGTCTTAGAGGTGGGAAGCTAACTAACCATTTAGAAGCTGCTATACATGAGGCCATGAGTGAACTCGACAAAATGTCTGGGAATGTAAGTATCTAGTGTAAAGCATGTAATGCATATTTAATATTTTATTCAACAGAACTTTGATCAATAGGCTAGTGCAGTATCGTAGTTTGAGTGTTACATTACAACTGTGGAGACCAGGGTTGAAATCCCCTCTGGGCCATGAAATCTTTGTGCAAATCACACTCTCTCAGCTTTAGAGGAAGGCAAAGGCACACTGCTTCTGAACAAATCCCTGTGATAGCTTTGCCTTCAGGATCGCCTTAAGTCAGAAACTACTTGAAAGCAAAATACAACAATGGTCAGCATTTGAATTTGAAATAAAATCCAAGAATTAGAGCAGTTACCTAAGAATTATTATAGACAGACACACACACACACACAGAATGGGACGGGGGATGAAAAACGACCTCATTGGACCCTTTGAAGCTTTCAAGTTTCTGCTTCTTGTTACCATCTCCAAAAAGCCTTACCTGGGTGTCAAGAAATCATCTGGAATGACATCCAGTGTGGATAAAAAGCCATCCATGGGAATTTATGAAAATGAGATGTCAGCCATATAATCTTCAAGAAGTGGAGAGTTAAAGACCAGAAGGGCTTTGCTGGATCAAAGTTAATGAAAACTGGATTGTGTCCACTTTGTTACTAAAATCATATGGAATAACAAAAGGAATTTATATATCAGTTCAATGTGTATGTAATCAGCTAACGCTCATATAGATAGTTTCACCTCTACATAAGAGTTTCACCTATAACTCTGGTTTAGTTCTTTTGTCAAAACAAGACAAAATAACTCAACCTGATCAAGAAAATCTACTGATGCAAGTTATCATTTCTGCCAACAGGAAGAAACCAAGAAGGCTTACCTATGGTTTGTTAGTTTGCCGCGGGGGGTGGGGGTGCTTTGTACAAATATTTATATGCTACTTTTATCCAAAACTTTCAAAGAGGTTTACATCAACAATATAAACTAGGCACAAATACAAATATTAACCATGAAAAAAGATGTGAGGTAATCAGAGTAGCTATGTTTAAATAAATATGTTCCTAACATACATCAAAGATTAAGAATAGAAGTATGTCAACAATGTAACAAGAGTTGTCACACACTAACTGCCTTTTTATCGATAATTGTTTTAAAGTGTTTATATTGTTTTGATTGTATACCATCCTGAGATTTCACAATTCAGGGTGTGGAAGAAATATTTATAAATGAGTGGGTTTTCATGTTGAGAAGGAAGAAATGGAGGAAGGAAATGCATATTCTGGACCTGAGATCCACTCCCTTACAACACTTCAGGCACTGGTCCAGAACTTGGACATTCACGGATCTAATAGAAAAGTAGAGTTGTGTCTGGTCATCATATTGAAACCCCTACCATAAGTCCCCTATGGCTGCTGTTGATGATTTGTATTCAGTAGCATTTGGGGACAAAATGGTTTATTTGTTTGCTTAGTATTACATTCAAACTGAAACCATTGGCTTATTGCTCTCCTAACATGAGGCCATGAGTTTGTTCCAAAGGAAAATTACCTCTGGACCATTTATTTAGAGCAGACTTGAGATTGCTCTTTGCAGAAAGAACAATCCGTTTCTTTCAAAAGTCTTATGAATCCTCTGCTGCTAAGAGAATCTCATTCCCTTTAATTTACTTCCACAAAATGAAATATCATTACATGTATCCATACACTGGAGGAGAAGACATAGCATTCTTTTAAGCTCAGCAGTACTACAGAAACAAGATGAACCAGACAGAACAGTTCTACTCGACATCTATAGTTGCATACTCAGGCAAACACGAGGAGTAGACAACCATGTGCCCACTTTTGAAGCTGCATATCTAGGTAAAGAGCATGCCATTAGCTTCACGGTGGAGCTTTCTCCAACTCCATGTTGAGAAGAAGAGAGGGAAACACATGTTAGTGCACCTTCCAGAAGTTGTACCCATCCAGGTCTAGCTTTTCCATGAGGAAAGACTCATGTAGTTACTTTGAACATTTTTGTGTATAGGGATTAGGGCCACCTTCAGAAGCACCCCAAAATGACATGTCCCCATTGCAGGCTGGAGAGGGGAGGGGAATTACCAAGAGTGCAATCAAGTGGTTGAATCTCATGGTTACAGGTTTTGGCATAGCTGGCAATACAACCCAGACATTGTAGACCTCTGAAGCTATTGATCTCTCATTACTTCGATGTGAGTCTGCTCTTTATAAAAAACTATTTTTTATTATCTAACAAACATTGACTAAAGAGAGGCCAGGTTTTTGTTATCATTAAGAGTATGAGTCATTCTTTCAAATCATGCTTCAGCTATAATTAATTAGGTTTGAGCAAGTTCGGTTTTCCAGCCTGTAATATGGGAGTAATACTGGCATTTAATCGCACTCCACAAACACTTCTTATCAATGTTATCCAATCAACGTAAAACATTATTTTTGAAGTTCTCTGGGCCTTTGGGACACCTTTTCCAGGACTTGAGGAAAGATTCAAGGAAAGCTTCATTCCATGAGAAGAACTCCACAGTCCCTTAGTTGCATCCTACCCAAAAAGTACTCTTTTGCTTTATGTGGAAGGTTTGTGAAGATGACTAAGATACATGTGATATATGTGTTCAATGCATATTGGTTGCTTTTAATAAGTAAAGAAATTGCTATATAAATATCAAGTATTTTATTGCTTTTCAATAATCCCTTCTCATTTAATTCCCATTATTGTTTTTCAGGTGCACCAAATTCCACAGGGAGACAGACAGCTGAAGCCTCCAAAGCCCAAGAGGAGGAAGATCTCTAGATAACATTGAATGTCTTTGTTACTGGCCTAGTACATATATATATATATATATATATATATATATATATATATATATATATAAAACATGCACATAAATATATGATATTATATATTGATAATATCAGGATGGATAGAGTTCATCACCACAGGGTGCTAAACAAAACAGTGGTACAGTATTCTTATTGGTAAAGAAAGCAACGTCAATCCAGATCTTCAAAAGGTTGCAGTGTGTCTATAAAAATCCTTTTTTTCTATAATACTAAAATTGTGATTATAAGATTAGAGTCCAAATGTTTCTGCAAAGTTTTCATTGTGTATATAGATAAAACAGAATTTCATGACGATATCTGGAATGTAAATAATGTACAATATTGTCATGTACAAGCGTACCTAATGCACACTTTATCTTTTATTGTACAAAAAAATAGTGTACAAAATTCTTTGGTTTCTATTGAGTACACATACAAGAGACTTACCAGTGTAAAGTGATAAATAAAAATACAGCCTAAATGCTTTTATATAATAATGTAAAAGATGCTGTTTTTGTATTTAACAGCAGTGGAAAAGGCATGATTATGTAATACCTTAATTATGACATAACACTTCTCGCGACTGAGTGTTCATTTATAGTGTCTGTTTGGAATGAACCTTGCCTGGAAGTACTGTACTCCATTTCCGGTCCCTGTAGGGAGAGTGCAACCTTGCAGATTCCTAAAGGGATGTGGGATCACACAGGTCAAATTAAGAAGTCAAAAGTTGCAACTGCTTGTTGCATTTTTTTAAAAGTTTGCCTGAGTTTTAAAGTAGAGTGCTGTAGATTTTTATATTAAAAATATTTAGATAGAATATTTTAGTCAGTTGTTGCTTTAACAGAGTTTCATAGCCACCACTTTAAAATCAGAGTCATTCATTTAGAAACCCTTTACAGCCAGTACTGGCTACTGACTTAATCTCTTGGTGCAAAGGACATATTGTATAAAAGCAATAGTCCCATTTCAAGGACTCTTCCCATTAAGTGATAACTCTAAGACAGTGGTGTGCAACCTTGGCCTTCTTGGTGTTTTAGACTTTGGCTCCCAGAATGCCTGACCATTGGACAAGCTGGCTACGATGTCTTGGAGTTGGAGTCCCAAACACCTAGAAGGTCACAGGTTGCACATTATTGCTCTAAGATGGTGGTTCTCAACCTGTGGGCCCCCAGGTGTTTTGAACTACAACTCCCAGAAATCCCGACCAGTTTACCAGCTCTTAGGGTTTCTGGAAGTTGAAGGCCAAAACATCTGGGGAACCACAGGTTGAGAATCATTGCTTGAAGAGATTACAGTGCAGTCTGTCCTTCATGTTTGCTGAGATTAGGGACATGGGGCCCCTGTGAAAGTGAAAAAGCATAAACAAAGAAATTGCTATTTTTTATCTGAAGAATACCTCACTAATTTCTAGGTCTGCCATCATAACTCTGCAGTTGACTTCGGTTGGAAGCTGGCTGTAGAATGCACTGAAGGACCCAGAGCTTCCTCAAGAGGTGTTATCTCTCGAAATCTTTAGGTCTGAAGGAAGTTGAGAATAGAATCACGTTGTGGAGGATTTAGAGATTCTTAGAACAAATCCATTAATTATCAGTCCAACAAATGTCAAAACCACAAATGTGAAGGACAACTGCATAGCATAATGGGGTTCTTAGAACTGAGAAAGAGATTTCTGCTACCCCTTTTATAATTAAATATTTTTATTTACTTCACCGGGGCTATATCAGCACTAAAAGGACACTAAATTGTCTCACCTGCTGGTACTAACCCCGTTGCCCGTTTTAATATACTAGAGGAAAAAGGTGGCTTACTAAACTATTAGGAGCACTGGCCAGGATCCTGAGAACTGCACACCTATTATTTTGTGTGTGCTGCTTGCATCAAAGGCTCCCTCTACTCCAGTTTGACAAACCAATTGTGAATCATGGAGAATTTCCAAAAACATTTTTTGATCAGGAATGGGGTTCCTTTTAAGGGAGTTTGTGTTAAAAAATAAACCTGGGCACACCAAAATCTTTGGATCAATCTAATGTAGCTCTTTGGATTCTAGCCAGTGATTTTGTCAGTATTATGTAACATATCAGATTTATTTTATTTAATAAGAATTATTTATGCCATTAACAGATTCTTATATATAAATATAAATATATGAATATATATATCGATGTGGCAGAAATGTTCAGGTTGAGTCTATTAACCGGATTATTTATGTTCCGTTGAGTTGGAAAGAAATGTGAAACATGTTTGTTAGAAAGGTGATCGTACACTACAGATCTACAAAGCTAAAGCTGTGAGCCATTCTCAGAGTCCCGAGATCTTTTAAAGAAGTGGTCGTGCAGTGGTCATTTTCAGTGTCGGTGCTGCATACGGTGGCAATGGCCTTCCCCTTTCTTCCAGGCATTGCGCAACGTATTCCCCATTCATCATGCCTGGGCCCAAGATGGAGTCTTTAGGGCCACTTACTACCTCTTCATCTGGGAGCCACCCTTTTGTCATATCCCGAAGCGTCATTCCTTCTAGTGGCTTAGTTAGCAAAGAGTGCTGGTAACCAGCTTCACCTACAGCTGATAATGGTACCAGTATATTGATAACCAAAATCTAATGTTTCAATGAGGAGTGCTCATTCCCTGCCCAGTTCACCTTCTCAGGGCCCAAGCTCCACTTTCCATGGGATATGAGCAGCAACACTAGTCCCAGAGGACAAGAGATCTGGGGGAAGTCCATTCCCCTGGCCAGTTCTTCCATGCCAATGCACACAGCACTACCCCTGGGCTACGGGGGCTGCTCTTATCCCATGTGGACAGCTCTCATTCTCTATTTCCAAGCCCAACCCAATGGAATGCAATTTGCTACACTACACTACAGTGGCCTGGAGACAGGAACCCTTCCTTCTGCTGGGTAGGTTCATTTTGTCATTTGTGTACCGGCAGCGTAGCCTGCCACAATCCTACATGAAAACCCATGTGAAGTGATCTTTTGTGTAGTTTAGTTAGCACTCTCTCTTTTTTGTTACAAGTTGATGTGTTTGTTATGTTTAAAGAGTTAATGTTGTCCATTTTTTTCGTACCAGCCTGCTTTCTGCGCTCGTCTAAACAGATGTTCCTATTCATGAATACTCATGTGAGTGTGTGTGTCTGTGTGTGAATGGATGTGTGCTTCAATTTAGTTTTTTTAAGTTTGCCTTTTTTTTTATCCCTAAAATGGAATTTGTATTGACCCACCCTTCTTTTGACATTTTAAACTAATTAGGTTTGTATTTTTCTCACCAATGTATACTTTACATTAGTAGACTATGTAAAGTATTTTTGTGCACTTGATTTCATTGGTTAATATTGGCATTGATGTGGGTGCTAGGAGTAGATCGTTTCAGTCCATACAGATTTTTTTTCCTTCTCTTTAGAGTTTTTATGGTTTTATGTAAGCAGTTTATGTAAATATTGTGAGCATTACAGGTCATGCAGTGTTGTAACATTTTTAAAAATGTTGCACCTACTTTACAATTAAAAACCTGGTCACTCATACTTGAATTTTGCCCATAGAGCCATTTCTTTCTCTTTGCATTCGTGCATAAATTACTTTTAACAAAAGGCTCAACCCTTCTTTCGGTGATGTTTTTTTTTTTGTTTAACAAATCTATATTTTTCTAACAGAAGATTTTAACACTTATTTTTTTTTGCCCGCTTTCTATCTTATGATGAATAACTCCTATATTTAAAAAGTGAGAAAATACCCCCATTTTGGAAAGTGGAATAAGATGAATCCAGAGACTTGGCACAATTACGGAAATTGCAAGTGTGACAGTGAAGTTGGGCCCCTTAAGATGAATTAGCCTCTCATTAACCTCTCATAGATCAATTAGTGGATGTTTGTGTGGTGTTTTGAGGATATAAAGTGCTAACTATCCTCATGTGTCTATTTATTTATTTATTTCTGGCGGGTTGTGATAAAATAATATAAAAATTCAAAGAATTATTCTTCTTTCTATAATGAAGCTTTATGAATACCATTTCTATTTATGAAAAGGTTTGGTTCCTATAACAAATTACTTAAGAGTGAAAATTATTACTGGCACTAATGCTGAAAATCATATCCAAAGGATTGAAAACCATTCATGTCCCATATCAGTTATGACCACAGCCTAGGTCTCGAATTTTGTTTCATAGTTTTTATATTCAAATTTACCAGTGCCATTGTGCAGACAACTTGCGAATAATTGCAATATTATTGTGGATTCCCTGATTTTAATGGTATAACATATCATGGTGGACTGAATTAACTTTTATTAGCTACAGTTTGTATTTTGCTACATAGGGTTTTTAATATGAATATTCCAGAAGAGCAGTAGCATAATAATGCTTTTCTATTTTAAAAGAACCCCATTCTAGTCTTACTAAGAGTTAGATTTTTAAAAAATATCAGTTTTGTAAAATTTGATAAAAATTGTCAATATTATGATTAAATCACACAAAAAACCTCACTGTGATGTTCTCTTCCGGAAGTGGGCCATGTTTGCACAACACCAGGCTGGGAGGGGTCATTTGTCCCAGGCTCAAAGTGAAGTCCATACGGTACTACAACCATAAAATTAATGCTGATTTAACTCTATTAACCAGATACAGTGGTTATGACTGAAAATTCTTGACACAATGTTCAATTTACATATTGTTTTCCAAATTTTAATACTGCTTTCAGCTTATGAAATCATGTATCCAGCGCATCCATTTAGAAATTAGTTTGCGTGCTAGATTGTATGTTCTGCTCAGTTCACTTGTAGTTACATTAAGGAATTACACCTCAATTAGTTAACATATTATGTGGGACTTGCGTCTGTGAAGATCATAGATGTCTAGATAATGAGCAGATATATTTGAAATTAATGAGGTCGTGTATTCAGTTCATTGCATCCCACATATCTTCATGAAATCTTTAAGAAATTGGCACTAGTAGTGTTAACACTGGGAGTGTCCAAGCAACACAAGAAGTCATGCCTGATTGAAGACCCACCTATCAAATCATGAACAATAGGATACTCATTTTGAGACATGCCCATTTGTCCCCAACCATCTTATAAATGGAGGCATGCTGATCTTAAGGGGTTTATTCTTTAGTATTGCAATTGATGAACATTTCCACAAAAGTTTCCACCTTTTTTTAATGTAGTGATCAATGCAGCATCTCTTGGCGAAGAAGTATTTATTACTTGAAGAAGCAGATTGCACCAGTTCCATTTTGTTGGATAATGCCTATTCTCAACTGTTTTAATATTCTATTATTATTTTACTGACACAAAACACAGTATGTCACAGCAAATGAGATATATATGCTGGATTCCGTATCTCAAAATCAGAAGTCAAACACTTCCCAAGCATCTAGGACTGTGTGATGTATTTTCAAATGATGCATGCGGATCCAAGTAAGGTGGCCTTTTGCAGTTGACAGATCATGATTTTGTCAACTGTTTATTGTTTCCAAATGCCGGCTAAGATCTTTTGGCACAGCACCCAGTGTGCTGATGACCACTGGGACCACCTGAACAGGTCTATACCAAAGCCTTTGCAGTTCGATTTTGAGGTCCTGAAAGCAGCTGAGTTTTTCCTGTTGTTTTTCCTCAATTTGGCTGTCATCTGGTATAGCAACATCATTAATCCAGACTTTTTTCTTTTCCAAAATCATGATGTCTGGTGTATTGTGTTCCAAAACTTTGTCAGTCTGGATTCGAAAGTCCCACAGTATTTTTGCATGTTCATTTTCCACTACCTTTGCAGGTTTATGATCCCACCAATTCTTTACTGCTGGTAGATGTTATTTATGACATAAGTTGCAGTGACACTGGAACTTGTGACATAAGTTCCAGTGAAAATATTATTATCCTGCTTTTTCTCTCCATACGGAGACTGAAAGCATTACAATACAACTTAAAATATACAACTATTAAAACAGTAGTAAACAACATTAATATTAAAAACAATTCAAGTTAAAAGCATATAAAACACAGAACTCCTGACTAGATCTTAAACACCTTCATCTTTAAATGTCTGCCACCGGAAGGACAGCATGGAGGAGGCCATTCTGGTTTCCCTGGGAAGAAGGGAGTTCCAGATGTAAGGGGCAGCCACCGAGAAGGAAAGCCCGCTCTCTCGTTCCCACCAACCAAGCTTGAGATGGAGGTGGGACCAAGAGAAGGGCCTCTCCTAAAGGTCTCAGGTCCCAGGTAGATTCATACAAGGGGGTGTGGTCAACCACATAGCCTGGACCTGAGCCATCTAGGGCTTTAAAGGTCATAACCAGCATTGTGCCCAGAAACAGATTGGCAGCAGGTGAAGCTGCTTCAACAGGGGGGTTATCCACTCACTGTAGAGAAAGGCACTTCCTTGGATTGGAAGACATTACTTGAAGATATCTTAGTCTTGAAAAGCGATGGCTGATCTACATCCTACAACCAAACATCCTTTCCAATTCTGTAAATGACTCCAGGAATCAATAAGTTACCAGAAACTTCCAACCTGTTGCCCCTGTAATACTTGGAATATCCTTTCCCCAGACTGCTAGTATATACTACACTTATCATTACTTCCAGAGAAAAATAGGACTATCCGCGAAAAAACAAAAACACTTTAAAATTGCTGTGGCATTGCTTTGAGGAAGTGGAAGACATAGTAGAATGAAGTCCAGCTACATTGTTCTTCTAAAATGAAATGAATTTAAATAATTGTGAAAAAGACATACTTTATCAAGTGAGTTTTATTTGATGTCCCAAGAGTCTAATGTACTTCTACCCTTTATGGGAAGAGGAACCTATTAATGAAGAAAATCGTAGATAAAATTCTGGTTAAAGAAGAGCAAGGTGTGCATAAAATTTCCAAAGATTCCTCTCAAGGATCATATCTTTCAGCCATTAATAGACACCAATACTCTAAAAATTAAGGAATGGTAATAATTGCATTGTCCTTATTCAGAGGTTCCAAGTCTGATGCATGTTCCCTCCCACAAAATGAGAATAAGATGCCTTGTTCATGTTAATGGTATGGGTGTCTCATTATGTAAATTTGGAGGTCTATGTACAGAGCTGGCCCAACTATTAAGTGAGTTAAGAAAGCCACATTTTTATATGAGTCTAGTGCATGACACATACATCTCCTGCAAGGATCCAAATCAGGTTGAATGTTTTCCTGGAAAAGAATCCAAAACCATAAGAAGAACTGCAGAACTTTTGGAACGACTGCATACATTTTTTTGTATAAAAATTGAATATGAACATCCTAGAACCAGAGTGAATCAGAAATACAGAGAATAAGTCACTTTATTACAATTTTTCACAAGGTCATCTTGATGCTGCATGACACCACTGGATGATATCAAAAACAGCAGGTAAATTACAGCATTCTTAAGCATAATTTGGCCGATTTTCTTACTCTACTTGACTCTGCCTTTCCAGTTGCCAAGATCTCAGACTGTCTTCCACCTCAGGAACAGATATATAAAAATGCTTGAATGTTTCCATTGCTGTTGTTGGGAAGACATTCAATATGTAATGACCAAATTAATACAGCCATGTTGTTGTCCACTGAATATGGCATGTCCACTGACTTAGCATGAGACTCTACTCATGCTAAGTCTAGTTTGATTTGATCCCTCAGCAGGGATCCTAGGCCCTTCAAAACCAAACTCCCTGGTATCTATCAGGCTTAGGTCCCAGTACTGTGCTTGTCATCACAGCAGGATCAGCCCATAATTTGGCAAAATACTGTGCTTCAATAGGTGAGCTGGGTGTTGGGTTGAGTTGCTATTATAGGACCTAATCTTTAGATCTGAATGTATTAATGAATGAGTGTGAGGTTGTAAAGCATTACAGTATGCACTATTTTATAGTTGCAAACACATTAACTCTAATTTATATATTTCTGTTAGCAGCAACTGGATCTGAATTCTAGAATTATCCTCTTTCTGGTTTGTGAGTACTCCCAGTCTAGACTCAGTGTGAAATTTTTAAGGACAAACAGCTAATCCGTTTAAATGCACAGGTCTTGGGCGGCATCAAACAGCCAACACAGAAAGTATACTCTAAGGATAGATTAAACAGGGAAAGTCAATGAAACAGGCTTATTGTCTGCCTACTGCAATCCTGCAAATTTGTTTTTCAGATATTTTACAGGAATTTCACTCCACATACACTCAAACTTCCTATCAGTTTTGTCCAAGCCACGTGAAACATTATTTTGGAAGTTCTCTGGGGCATTGGGACACCTTTACCAGGACCTGAAGGAAATTTCAAGGAAAGCCTCATTCCATAAGATGAACTCCGCGGAGTCCATTAGTTGCATCCGACCCCAAAAGTACTCTTCAGCTTTATGTGGAATTTATATTGTAGGCCAGTGACAGGGAACCTGTGGATCCTAATTCCCATTAGATTCTGGGAGTTGCAATAACATCTGACACTAAATAACATCTAACATATGGGCAGGAGATATGTGGACTTCTAGGTTTTATTAGTTTCTGTCAGCATTGCTCACCATTGGCTGTTTTCAAATTTATCTGGCAATTTCGCCCTCCTTGAACTATTCATGCGGTTCAGAATTTGGATCCAAAGTTTTTGTCTTGTTTATTTTCCATAGATAACTTTGGCTGTTATGTTGCTGTATTGAATTTAATATAGTAAACACTATTAAAGTTTGTAGTGTGACTGCAATAAGCCAAGATCACAGGATATTACCCAACTCTATAGGAAGGGACAGATATAGTTTCAAAGGGTGTTGGAGATGAGAAGGCAAGTTTATAAGGAGAAAGCGGAGAAGGGTGTGGTACTATGGAGGCAGCTGCTTGCTGTTTCCACCCATATAAAATAACTCTTAAGTGCTTGTTTTTCAGCTCTTAAGGAGAATAAAAAGAACTGTCTCGTTCCATAA